GAAGTCTCCATGATAGCATTCTTCATCATGAGCGCAGATGGAATCCTTTTCCAGCTCTCTCCACCTCCCCCTACCCCAAAACCACTTTAAGTTCTAGCCACTGATTTCTCCCAAAAATATTGCAGTGCAGTAGATGCCTGATAACACCAGAATATCCTATCTGTACACTACATCATTATTTTCCAGTCCTCTATGAACTTTGGGCCAATAAATCAGGAAAAGTGTGGTTCTGAACTAATAATGTGAACATCACACATGACTTGTTGCTATGGAAAGCCAGAAGTTTTTCCCAGCAACCTGGGAGCTTAATGGTCTTTATGATATTTTGCCAATAAGCAATGATATCCTGCTCCTACCACTTATTTTCACTACAGTGCTCATGTCACAGAACATGACAACAACTTACCAATACCCACACATCCAAACATTATGATATGGGATAATAAATCATCTATATGCCGCTCTGTTACCTCAAGTATTTAAAGAGATTTTAAGACACAAATGTCTGGTGGTCAGAAAGTCTATGAGAAATACATGTCTACTATAAACAGAATCATCAGATGAACCATTCTGCCTGTAAACTTCATATCTAAACTTGAGAAGCAATGTTCATGAAGAAAATAGAAAAGGTTGAGACAAGTAGGAAGGTTATGACTCCTGCATTTGCATTTGGTGGGGTAGGGTGGTGATGGATGGGTAGTCATATTAGTGACGTATGTTTTATGGATGTGACAGGAGGTCGACAGAGATAAGGAAGGGGAAAAGAAGAGGAAAGTGAGGAAGCAGAAAGAAATGGAAAGGGACATTTTTGGATAAATTTCAGGGAACACTTTTGACTTCAAGTTATTCAGCTTTGAAACATATTCATGGTGAGAATGAAACACACTCATGGTGAGAAGAAAAGCTTTACTTGGAAACTTGACTATCAAACCCTAAAATCCTAAATATTTTATATAGGAGTTGGGAATTGTATACTTTTTGGAACAGGAAATGCCACATACCTTTTCCTTTAACATAGTAAATCTAGTTTTACAAATAACAAAAAATTATTGTATTTATAGAGAATAGTATTAACAGAGACTCAAAGAAATAATTAGATAACCCAGGAGTGGCAGCTGACACACAGAGCCTTAAGTAGTTAAATAGCCAAGTTAAATTATCACTACTATTTTTTGTCCTCCAGTTGGTTCAGTTGAATAAATCAATAAAAACAATCACAGAATCATGGTGTTAGAAGTGACCTTTGGGATTACCTGGTTCAACTTGCTACTTATAAAGAAGAAACTAAATCTCAGAGAGGAAGAGTGACTCGAAAAAAAGCCACATTGAAACTTTCACTCTATTTTCTATAAAAGGCCATGAACATCAAACATGCCCAGGGATGCATTACAGAAAGGATACTTGGGTATTGAACTTCATGGTTTCCTAATGGTCACCTGCCCTACATTTTTAATATGGAAAGGAAGGAGATGAGGGCAGAGAAGCAAGGGTCGCTCTGTCTGTACGTCATGCCTGTTAAAACAACTGTTGGGCAACTCTGTCAGAGTGGGCTGACCAGGAATGATGGCTGTCTCTGGTCGAATTATCGGGTTGTTTCAGAAGCACTTAAAGAGGAGAAGGGCAGAAGAGAGTTCACTCTTTCTGCCTAATTGCAGGTTAGAGGACAGAGTGCTTGGGCCAAACAAATTTCCTTCTAAGGCCACAGCAAGACAGAGCAGTTTTGTCAAATCAATTTTGTCAAAATGGACAATATAAGTTATTCAGGTTAAAAATAAAGGACCCAAATCTGCGGCATTTCAACTTGCAGTCTACCTCATTTTCTACTGAGGGTGGGGTGTAGCCTCTCTTGGAGACAGTGAAGTAGAAGGCCTGGATTTGAGTCATGGCTTGCCAGTGCTCCTCAGCATCTTACATAACCTCTCTGATTTACCCATATGACTAACAAGAGAAGAATTCTCATCCATCTCCTGCCTGAACAAGTAGATGGTATTTTTTATGACCTGAAATCCACTCAATCGACATTCCTGAGAAAATACGCCATGAATTGGGCAAAGTGCTGGAGAGATGAGAGATAAATTTAATGGTGTCCTTGTCCTCAAGACACTCATACCATGTGTAAGACAAGGGGCTGTGGCCCATTCGCCACTTCTATAATTGCAATATGATAAGTGCTGTCTTAATGGTATAGATTAAAGGGCTGTGGGAAAGCAAGAGAGGGAGTGATTCATTATTCCTGGCAGGATGTTATTTTGATTGTAACTTTAAAAAAAACTAGAACACTATTATGAAAAAGTATGTGGATAAGCATAAACCAACGATCAAATATTTCAACTATCCCTAAATTGTACAAATGACTATAAACATATGAAAACACTTTACTTGCTTGTTTAGAATAATTGTTGCCTCAGTCATTTTTATAACAAGTAACAGTGCTAGCAAGTTTTATAAGCAATACTAAATTCTATCAGGGAAAGTAAGTCAGACACTATTGTCAACTGCTGTGTAGGACGAAACAGCTACCTAGAGACCTTCATTCAAAACAAAACAAAAATCATTGGAAATGAGTTACATTCTCGATTATTCACAAAAGACAGGATTAGAATATATAACTAATCCCCAGTTAAAGAGATAACCTGTTATCCTATTAATTACAGCATTCTTCTCTCTTCCCCAAATCTGACAAAATATTTTGCTATATTGGATCAAAAAAAACAACCTGTTTGAGGTGTTGGTTAATTTAATTTATGGAAAAAAAAATGCAGATACTGGGACAAAAAAAAAAAAAACTATGGATATAAAAATAAACTATAAATTCTGGACTCGATCCCTGGTTTATTTATATAGGTTGCTTATATAATCATTTGCTTTTCTAAACTGTGTAACTTTTCCTACTCTTTAATCATTATCGTACAATTTTGAAACTTGAAGAAACTACAGAAATCAACAGTTCAACTTATTCATTTTACAAGTAAGTAAGGGATGGCAAGTGGTAGCTTGTCTTCCCATTATCGCATTTGGTCTTTTAGCATTTCCTATATCCAGCCAATCATAACCAACGCAATCATCATAAAAGGTAAAGCTTAAAGTTATTTTTAAAACATTCGTCTTGAAAAGCCAGAGGTGTAAACAAAATCAAATGATGCTACACAAACAGATTACAGCAGCTCTGTACTGATTCATTGATAGGTGGTTCTGGATAAGGATATAATATTCCTACCAAGTCAATAATGTCACGATCTAAACAAACTTAGGCAATTTGCCTTCATGAAATAACTACCCCAGACAAAAACGGAACTGTCATTACATAAAGCTGTCAACTGCACTAGATTGGGATTCCAGAATTAGTCAGAACATGGTTTATTAAATTAAACGCTTCGAAGTCCTATAGATCTAGGAGTTAAAATAGTACTATATTTTTCCAATGCCACATTGCAGAGGAGGTAGCAAACAGAAAGAAGGGGCACCAGGGCATTCTATCACACTTTATTTGCCTACCACACATCTACCACACACCAGTGTAGACATGTTGACTGTAATCCCTTCTTAGTGGACAACACATTTTCAAAATGAATCCCGGATCTAGAATGAATTACCCAAACAGCCAAAGCTGGAGCTAGTCCACTGATGAGAAACACAGATCTGGCCACCTGCTTTGAACAAGACACTGCTGTGTTTTTAAAGGCCGGCCTTTTCAGGTAGGGCATCTGCCCTCCTAAATTACGCTTAAACCAGGGAAAG